TCTTCTTCTTCTTCTTCAGCGATGAATCAACCTTTAAAGAGCGCCATAGACGCGATGTGATTTCGCAAAATGTGAAAACGACGCTTCCACACTCCCCGCGCTTGCGCTCACTCACTTCTCCGCTTTTGAACGTGCGATCGTTGACAGGCGCCTTTATTCAGGCGACTCTCAGACAATCAATATTTATCGTCGACACTCAGGTAATGACAGCACCTGATAAACGTGGTAGAAATTAACTTTCTTGCGGGAAATTTAATTATCTCGCATTATTTCACAATCTTATGTCGAAATATCTTGGAGAACATCATGTGCGAATTAAAACTATATTAAAATATAAATTTTGCTCGAAATTAACAGTGCTAAAAATACGTTTAAAAAATACCGTATGAAAATTAGGATAAGGACGAAACATAAAAATAATCGAGGAATAAAGTCTCGTTATTTATATTTTATATATTCTTTCTTGTTATTTATACTTTTATACTTTCCAGGTATTTAAGAACGAAAAGCGATTGATGTCTAGATAAATCTGCTAATAACTGTTACTATAACGCACGCGACGTGAAATGGTATCGTTACTTTATTTGCCGTGCGTAAGTTCGTCGACCGGACGCACGGAAAACGTTTTTGCGCTTGCGCTTGCTATTATTGTAACGGTGTAGAAAATTAGTCACGATGCCATGGCCTGCAGAAGAAAACATTGTCAGGCACGCGTAACGTACTCACTGTAATGCCGAGGTCTTAAAATTCAAATTAGGATCAATTATGTGACGTCTTCTTTAGCTTTAAATTGTTTATAACCGATCAATTGCAGACGGAAATGAACGGATGCGTTAAGTTGCAAATATTATATTTGATTCTTATTATTAATTTTTTCATTTTCTCTCATGGATATTTCACGTCGGTATATCTTCTTTGAAGTTAAGGTGAAAAAATGTCCTGTCAGTCCGAGTGTTATAAGAACCCATGTCGCCTATTTGTTAGGTACATATGAGGAAGACATATCTAACAAAGAAGTTGATAAGTGTCCCTACATCGTTCGAATTTGATACCTCATTAATATTATTTCTTTATTTTTATATTAAATAAGCACGTGCTTATTCAAAACATTCGTGATGTCAATTTATCGCTGTAAATCCGAAGGCTTGTATAATATTATTCAAGACAAATTTTAAGAAATCTAAGAAGAATTAATTAGTGATTTAATCCATTAATTTAATTTCGCGATTCAATTTTCAGAGCGTATCTATCTTGAAAGAAATGAAATGTGTATTCCGAGAGTGTTCTAATCAGAAAATTGGCTAATTGACTTGCAATGCAATGCTCGGCACTACGATCGATTAATCGTAGAAATACCTCAAACGAGAGGAGTAATTGTATAGGAAGAATTACAATTGTGCGCGGTGTTGCGTGAGCAGATCTTCAAAGACGAGATAACCCATCGCTGTCTTTACCACAGCGATCGGTTCGTTCTTATTTACATTGGTCGAGAGATGATTAGGGTGATGGGTTACGGTAATAATACGCACGGATCGCCAAGTGGAACATCCCAGATCAGTTCCCAGAACGCGTATTACCAATTGCCGTTTAACACGATTATACTCATCTATCCGATACGTACAACTCGCAATCGTAATCCCGGTCGTTACTCGCGAGACATTCCGCATATGTCGAGAAGAGAATCCCACGTTTCTCGGATCACGCTAATCTTATCGCGCAAGACAGACAAACAGAAATTGTATGCCTTCCTGTTTGAAAACCTTAGCCTATTAGATATATTTTACGTATTTATTATATTACTAGAGAAAATATAATATAAAAACTATATATCGATGTGTCTCTAATGATGATTGGCTGAAAATAAAAAATTTTGAAAGTTTCAAAATATAACTTCAACTCCTTCGTGTTTCGAATTTTTTGGAAACTTTTCATCCGCCAACTAAATAAATCTGTTATAACATATTAGTCATATTGAATATAACAATAAACAATATTGCAATAAGCTTTGCGGACATATTCATCGATTTATAGGAATCTATAGGAATCTTCAAGGATTCCACATGTTTGCACGTAAAGCACGATTTTGTTGAAGCATCTAATAATTTATCTAACTATAATTTTAAAAATATTGTTAACCCATCAAAATAATTATGTAATTCAAATTAAATGCAAAAACATCAAAACTTTTTACAACATTACCATCATGCTTAAATATCTTATATAATTATTTTAATGGTTTTAAACAACTATTTTCAAATCTGTATCTATATTTTTATATCGAATTTAGCTAAATATTTATTATTAATTTTTTTTATCAATTCCGATTAACATCAATCGATGATTAATTCAATCATTACGATTGCCAACGTGAGAATTAAACACAGTTTGTTTTTGAAGAAGAAAATTCTGATGTATTAAATTATGTTGACATTTATACAAGTTAGACTCGTTTCTGCCAATGTAGTTTAATTTTAATCTCGGTTCAACTAACTTTTCATCTTTTTCTAGCTCTAAGAATTAGAAAAGTATAAAGAGTTAAACCGACATCAAAGTTAATTTATATTGGTAAAAACGAGCATTAATCGTCGATTAACTTAACCAAAGGTAAAAAATATCTTTAGATATTTCAAACATTCTTTCTGTATACATAGGTTCCGAAAATTCTCAATTTAGCGATAAGCAATTAGCGTATCAGACGAAGTCGTTCGACAACATGTGCGATATCAATCTTGCCCTCCGTAAATAGATAAGTTCGCATTAACGCCCAAAAATCCCGTTTTTTCAGCTCATTTTCAAACCTCATTCTTATAACTAAAGAGGAAAAATTTTCAAACAAAAACCATGTTTCCTACTAGTTTTGAGTATGCTCTTCAAGAATCCATGGTCAAAATTGAGTTTGCTTAAATAGGAAATCCAATATGGCGCCGGATTTGTAAAAAAAAGTACCCAAAAATTTGGAATTTTTTTTTCATAATTTTTTTTGGGTCAATAGAGTTTCGAGACTCAATCCTAACTATGATCAACGGTGATCGGAATAATTGAAGTTTGAGGAAAAATTTTTTTTGCCGATCTCAATTGGCCATAACTTTTTCAAAATGGCGGATTTCCCATATGGCGGACATGAAATTTTGAAAATCTCACAGATTTTCGTAAAACTCTGTATTCGGGGGTTTTCGTGGTCGCTGATTACGAATTTGACATTCTACTCTCTGCGTAACCCAGAGACAATAACGTGGATGTGGTAGAATTTTGTCTCTTTCGGCGTGCTTGATTAAAGTGAGTCCCCTTGCGTCTCACTGAAATATAAATCCTTTCAATGATTCTTCTTGAAACCTGGATTGCAGAATGGTAATGCACACTTCTCACAGAAAATTCTGGTCACGCAGAGAGTAGAATGTCAAATTCGTAATCAGCGACCACGAAAACCCCCGAGTACAGAGTTTTACAGAAATCTGTGAGATTTTCAAAATTTCATGTCCGCCATATGGGAAATCCGCCATTTTGAAAAGGTTATGGCCAATTGAGATCGGCAAAAAAATTTTTCCTCAAACTTCAACTATTCCGATCACCGTTGATCATAGTTAGGATTGAGTCTCGAAACTCTATTGACCCAAAAAAATTACGAAAAAAAAAATTCCAAATTTTTGGGTACTTTTTTTTACAAATCCGGCGCCATATTGGATTTCCTATTTAAGCAAACTCAATTTTGACCACGGATTCTTGAAGAGCATACCCAAAACTAGTAGAAAACATGGTTTTTGTTTGGAAATTTCTCCTCTTTAGTTATAAGAATGAGGTTTGAAAATGAGCTGAAAAAAACGGGATTTTTGGGCGTTAATGGGTTAATTAGCATGAAAGTCGTCGCCCGTTAAGTCGTGCTCTCACTTGACTCGAAGGAAATAAAAAATCTTATTAAAATTAAAAGCTAAAGTACTACGCATTAAGTGCGGAAGAAATAAAGGAAGTAAGACACCGCGCTGCGCCGGCGAAGAAAGCGGAAGGTCGTTGGAGGTGGAAATACGATGGCGCGACGCGCATTTCGACATTCTTAAATCACAATGTTGGACGTTCGCGCGGGTTGGGATCCGACCGCGATCGGTCGAACCGAGGGCTTTAAGTTCAGAGGTTATCTCATGTCATGGGAATGTTTGAGGCGTATATATGGTTGTACCGATGTTGAGATCACGACGTTCGCGCGCGTATATGTGCCCGCGTGAAACTTAACACGACATTGTTTAGAAGACTACATGTTCTGTAACATTTTTCATTTGACGATATAAATACGCGTTCATATAATTTTCCTTAATGTCAAAAGTAAGAGAATAACGGGATATTAAGGGCAGTGAAAGGTATTGAATCAGCCAATTCTAGAATACTAGTTTTTGTTCCGGGATAATAATATGTCTGATAACAGAAATTAATTAATCCATTCTCAATAAATTTTCAAATAGTTTCGCCTATATGTTTGTGTCATTGTACAGTTTAATTACGTGATGTAGTATACACAATTACGCGCTGTACTCTATACAATTTCTGAATTAATTAATCAATTTGCAGTAAATTTTAGTTTCCAACTGCTTTCACTATTACACAGCGAAATGCAGAATTACATGCGTTTTACAAGTAGTATTATATATTACTTCATTTTGCAAATTTATAAGCTTTGTATAAATTAGTATTACAGAACTCTGATTGCATAACATCTCAGTAAAATTTTGCGCGTTCAAATTAAAGTTTAGAAATAAATTAGACAATAAACCGTACTTCTAATTTGATTATGGTAACGTTAATAAGTTATAAGAAAAGTAGAGTAACTCCGTTTTTAATGTTCAATTTTTTATTGATTATCTTATCAAAAGCTTCAAATATTTTATATTTTAATATACTTTTTTACCTCTCCCCCAATCATAATTTTTCTTAAAATAGCCAAATAACATTGATATTAATAGGTATATGCAAGTATTTTCCTTCTAACGGTGTATTTTCTATTTCTGTTTCAGGATTCATAAACTGCAACACCGCCAACACGTTGCAGTCGCTCGCGCAGCTACATGGTGAGTGAAAACTAGTTGTTAATTCCTCTTTCCTCTCTCTGTATTCCCCTCGTGCATCCCTTGCACGCGGGTATATACGTCCTGCGTTACGTTTATTGCCAGAAGATGATCACCGGAGGGAGGAGAGCCACACGGCCCGCGGATTCAATTAAAATTTATAGTTATGTAATACCTCCCCGATGCAAGAGAGGTATGCCTGTCTTCCTGGCGCGGCGGCAATCGGGGAAACGTGGCCCTCCTCCGCACGACGTTCACTTCCTCTTTCTTCATCATAATCACCACCAGGGAAGGACTAGCTTCGCAACCTGTACTTTGCTACCGTAGCCGAGTCGAGCCGCGGCAAAAATTCTGTTTTTGATTTAGCGCGAGTGCCATGTCGTCGCCGCCGTAAATTTCACGCGAGAGTGAAGGGTTCGCTGCGGCTTTTTGCTCCTGTGAATTGAATTAACAAGGCTAGCGCGAGCGCAAATACATCCGAAGATTCCGTGCTTGTAAATTGATGGGTATATTGGCTCATAAATCGTTATGTAAAACGCTAACCCGTCTACCTCTCTCGTTCTCGTGTGACCGCAAAAATATGTGGACTCGTTTGAGCTCGTTAACATTTTTAGCGTCGATGTTTTAGCACAACTCCTTGCAGCAATTTCAAATGGTACTGTCGACGTTTTGCGAAGATACTGGAATGCGATACGTAGTCAAAGAGTCGTCTTATCCTTTCGAGACTTTATATTAGAACGTCCTATGTGCACGTCCTATCACCTCGATTTTGCCCCGTTCGTCTCGCCAGGGAAACGCGCAGAACGAATTTTCTTAAGCGGATTGTATTGCTTCCAAGAAAGAGGGTTGATAAATACATCAGGCACTTTAATTAAATCTCGTAATGTGTGCGGCCCGTCCGTGTTTGTTGTTCGTTCGTGTCGTTGATCTTCAGCGCCGCGCACCGGGGTTTCGATCGTAAAGATGTCCCGGTGCAATTTCTCTTCGTGGTGTTCGTCATTAACACCACAAAGGCTTACCGGGAAACGCAATCGCGCTCACAAGTGCGAGAAGGACAGATTTATTTTCATAACGTTCGCGAGAATCTAAAAGTAATTACCACGCTTCTCATGGGACGTTTAGGATTTCATTCTCTGAGCATCTCTAAGAGGATATCCCCAAGTATCTCAATCTCGGATCCGCGTAAAATTTCGTCAGTGTGTAAAATGGTTGCTATATGTATATGAGACTTATCTTTTTATTGATCGAGATTTTGAGATTTCTTAGTTCTCCTAAACTCTTAAAGAGCACGCCACTATCACAGTTTAAGAACGTTAAACTAAAATATTATTGTCTACTCTGCAATACGTAAATGAAAAAGTTTTTTAAATCTGACAAGTATATAAGTACATATATGAAATGTCTCAAAGAAGAACTATTTAAAAGCTTTTAAAAAGATACATTTTTTGCGAGTTACATATTATGAGTTATAACATTTTTATACACACATTTTGAATTACTTTTACATTATTATATATATTGTTTAGAAAATTGCATAAACAACGATATATTATTAGCCATTGTTGAAAATTTATTCAATACATGGCACAAGACATTTATTGCTTTTTTTTATAGCTCATTAACGATGCATCGTTGCGCGCGATATGTATCCGGGAAATCTTGTCCTAAGGTCGAAATTAATCGACGACTGCTTCAACGGACGTGGTCATCATACGCTGACATTAAAACGAACGGAAAGAAACAAACACGCACCCGGCTATCTCGGTCAGAGACTTTTCACCCGGAATAACTACGAGACGGACGCGAATAGGCTAATTAACTCTGCCATTTTGAAACTTCGAAATAAGACCTCGCATTTGCGCACACGTACGTTGCGTATAATACATACATATTTATCGACATCAGCTGAAATTCGAACAACATTTTGTATCGAATATTTCTAAGAAAGAAAGAGAAAGAGACTGGATTTAAAAATATCTCATTTATTATGTTATACTACGTATTAATTATAATATATATGATAATTATTGCTCGAAACTTCTTTTAAAATATGTTAGAAATTTTAAAAACTTTGAGGAAGAAAAAAACTATAACTCTCTTAATTCTATTAAACTTCTAAAATAGTTTCATAGAGGCAGATGTGCAAGTAATTAATTAAGTGAAGTTGAAAATAATTGAGTTTATCTTAGATATGAGTTTATCTTGAAGAAGTTCATAATCCATGGCTTTAATTCGTTTATGATTCTTCGCTCTTGCTTTTTAAATGAAACGTGTCATCACACCTCCTATCATGGATGGTTAATGAAGTTGAGAATCTCTTATTCCTTCAAAGCGCTTTTAACTTTATAAGTTTGCTCAACGGTGGTTATATGGCATTTCGTTATATATTAAAGACTTTAATTTTCGACCTGAATGAGGCCGGAAATGTCTGGACAACTTGATTACCATTTGTCTGCAGTCTCGACTGTGCATCATGAAAATTCGATAGAGCTAAATCCTTCTCTAATTTATCCTTCATATCTATATAGTGATATACTTTGGAATCATCACAGTCGTCTCACTATGTCAGGTCCTTCTCTTTAATACTTCATAAATTTTTATAGGTAGTATTAATAATATTATAGCTGCGTATCAAAATATTTCTATCCTAATGCATAATGAAACTTATTCGATCGTTATGGCTACATAATGAATTTATTTAAATAACATTTTTTCGCTTTTAGCCACAAGTTTTCGTAGTATCTTTCCAGAAAAAAATTGCGAATAATATTACTATTCTTTAAAAAAAATTTATTTGATTCTCTCTGACTTTATTAAACTGTTTTATCTTTATATGTATGCGTTATTCGCTGGCGCAGTATCGATAAACTTTTTTTTCGCTTTGTCTCACAGAGATGACTGTTCCGCATAGTCATTTGGGTTTAACGAACTCACACGAATTTACTCACATTTACACATCATACATACTCGCACACATATATACGTTTTTGTGAACGAGAGTGCAATAAACGTTTCAGGAAAAATGGAAGCAAGACGCAAACTAGTTTAAAAATAATAAGAATAAAAACAAGATCTATAATACGTTTGACAGCAGGATAGTAAAAGTTCATTTTTGTGTATATCCCCTAATTAAAAAGAAAACTTTCGCTTTGTCATGGTTCCTATCTCGCAAGTAAGACCTACTGACTGTGGTAATTACACTAATCTTATTTTAATACCTTGACGATGTTAATATACATAAGATAAATACCTGTCCACAATACGCGTATGTACGAGTATTTCGTAGACCACTAAATAACATGTTTATTATCCGTATATGAAAAGTCACGTACTACGTACCGCGCGCATACATAAAACCGTTATGGTCGCGTGTGCACGTAGGACGATGCTGATGTGTACAACCTGCACAGTCGCGACCGCATTACCATACATATTGATCCATCCTAGAAAACGCGCTCATAGAAATCGCCTCCCCACCGGACGTTGGCCCCGGCACATTTTGACAATGTTCGTCTCCGGTTACGCTTCTCGATTTTTTTCCACGGTCTATGAGTCGCTTTACGCTCTCCTGTGTCACGTTTCTCAACAAAATAATATTCCTGACGCCGGAATTTCCGCATCCTATTTGCCATTGCGTTTTCGCAATACGTGTATGTGTGTTTAAAAATTTTGAATATCCTAATCGTTATAAAACCTCAATACTTATCGCGAAACAACTAAAGATCCTCATGGCAATACACGTTCGTCCCAAATTCACGCTACGCTCATCCGCTATACACGCGACTCGACGCGGCGCGACGTTATCGTTTACCGTATCCGGAGCACGCTCTTGCAAAATGTCTATTATTTTCTACACGCGGAGAAACGTACGCTTGGAGTATAAAAGGAGACACAGGTGCAATGAAAGGAAAACGTACCTGCTCGTTTAATTTATCGCACGTAACTTGCGATTTATATTCAACGAGACCGGATCGAGAAGTCTTGCTATCATGTATTAATCCCATCCTCTCGCGATGCGCGTGTTTTCCTAGAACAGAATCCATGGAGGCGTTATATTGCGTGCGTGTAATAAAACGATCAGTATTAAATGTTAAAAAGAAATGTTAAAATCATTGCGGCACGAGCGGACTCTTCTTTCTTGTAGGCGCACGTCCGGCTAAAAGAATTTCGCTGATGACGTCTGATGACATCGCGTTTCGCAGGTGCAGCGCGAATTCCTGCCGCCGCAGATAGTTGCGTAATTCGTGATCCGTATCCGGTTTTAACGAGAATCTACGTTGCGTCTGTCGCATTAAGTACGAGCTTAATTAAATTATTTTTTTTTACGAGCTCCGCAAAGGGACGGGTGCGAGGAGGAAACGGCGGTTTTTACAAATCTTTGTAATGATATTTATAACACACGTGAGAAAAGTACGTTGGAAAAATCTATATTTATGCGCAAACGTGATTAGAGTACTTACGGAAAATCCGATTAGCGCTACCACCAGAAATACTTTCTGGTGCATTTTCTGTTAATAATAAAAACGGTTGCAAGTTTTACAGAAACATTCGATTTAAACGCCACGATTATTCGGATTACTGCATTTAATTCTGTTAATCTGTAGAGTTTATACTCTACATAAAATTCAATCTGCAGAACAGATTCAAATATTGACATACACATAAATATATATTTTATATTTTTTTTTTTCAAGTTTTTATATATAAACTTATAAGGATTCACGTAATTAATTTTTATATTTTTAAATCAATTTTAAACGTTGAAAATAATATTTATATATTAGTTTCGAGTAACCATCAATTACCCAACATTCCTTTCATTTTATCAGAAAGTACCGATACTGTCATTTGCTTTCGTGTTCCTTAGAGAGCACTTACTCTCGAGAATTTTCTATCAACATGCTCCCGACGGTGTCATTCCTCTTGCCAGGGAACGCGGCCTGAAATTACACGGGCACGCACGGGGAACCGCACGCGTGACAGACATGCCCGAGGTCCCTCGG